GATCTGGGCTCGTCTTCAGCAGGCTGAGGCGGCACTTCTACTTCAGGAGGAGCCAGCTGCTGCACCTTGTCAGAGGAGACTGGATGCACTTCGGGAGGCTGCACTTCGGCCAAAGCTGCCTGATCCTCAACCCCAACGCCTTGTGCTTCTTCTTTTTCTTCTTCCTCCCCCACCGCCACTAACTCAACCTCAAAGGCTGGAGGAAAAATAGTGAGCCCCTCTGCATCACGCTCCCACCTCAGCGTAATCTGAGGTCGGAAGTCAGCACAGAGGCTCTCCCCATCTTCCTCCACCCCTTCTTCTTGTTCCCCAAAGATGACTGTTGTCACGTCCACCTCTAGGTACTAGGCTTTCACCTTCTTTCTACAGTCGGTGAAGGCCACGATTGCGGTTGGCAGCCGGTAGAGTTTGAGGATGTTCTCGAAGGTGCTTTAGTTGAGGAAGTTACCAATGTGCTCCTCCATCCCGTTGTGAACCAGTAGGTTCACGTTCTTCTTTAGCTCCGCTGCTCCTTTCCTCATGTTGTCAATGTATTTGTCTTGCGCCTCGAGCTTCTCCTCACAGATCTTCCTCTTACGTTCTTCGAGGACAAGCTTCGTGCTCAGGACATCATTCTCGTTTTGGAGCTCGGTCACTGAAGGCAGAACTTCATCCAGCCTCCTTTGCATCCCCCTCTTCTCCTTCTCCCACTCCTCCTTCTCCTTCTGCAGCTGCTCGCACTGCCTCTGCAAGTTGGCACGGTCTCTCAAGCTCTCCACGTACTCCTGCGCCAAAGCGTTTATCCAGCTTGCACTCTATAAGGTCAGCAGAAGTCAGACTTCAAACACAGGAGTAAAAATAAAACAAGATTAACTTACAACTCCCTTACATACCTCCAGGGCATGCCTCACCACAGTAGCCCCTAGCCAGCTCACCGCCTCATCCCTCGCCCACCTCCTATCCACCTCAGGGAGAGTGCGGTTGAGGAAGTGCTTCGCCCCAGTCATGTTTGCCGCCTCAAACAGACTCTTCTCGTGCAAGTGAGGAGGGATGAGCTCCTTGCCCCTGCCAGGGCCTCACACCTCGACCTCTTCCCTCTCCTTAACTTCAGGATCGATTTGAGGAGGAAAAGGGCGAGGCACGAACTCAATCACCTCATCCCCCTCACCTCTAGTTCAGCTACCTTCCTCTTCTTCCTTTGGAGCGGTGCCACTTCCTCGCTCACATCCTCGCTACCCCCCATCGCAGGTTCTGGTCTTGGCTGTATCTCCAGCACTCAGGCGCTCTTTCTCTACCGCCCCTTTGTCCGCCGCAGTTGAAGTCCTTGACTTCTTCCTCGGCTTTTTCGAGATGCGCAGCCCCTCAGCAGCATTTGTAAACTCATCCATCTCAGCTGCAAAACAAGCACAAAGGTCAAAACACACCACCTAAGATCTAACCAACATAACACAGTATAAACATACATAAACCTTCGCTCAATGAGCTTGGCCCATAGAGCTCAGCAGCCTCCATTGCCTGCGGACTGGTGAGGTACAGGATGTCCACCACGTCCCCTTTCTCCCTCACCAGCTTCTCCACCTCCTCCACCTCATCCTCATTTAATTTATAGTTGTTCTGCTTGGTTTTCTTAGCTTTCCAAGCAGACAACTGCTCCACCTCGGCATCTCTCCTACTCTACTCGGTGTCATCCACAAAGAAAAATTTTTCTTTCCATCCCTTGATGGATGACAGTCCAGCAGAGAATAAACTCTTATTCTCTTTGCTGGACGACCGAGGGCCGAAGTAGTACCATCCCTTCTCACCTCTACCCCCACCCCTTATCACAAAAAAATGCTTAAACATGTTTACTGTGGGGACCCCCACCCCCCGAACTCTGCAGTATACAAGAAAGCCTATTATTACCCTCATAGCATTTGGGGTTAGTTGGGTTATTCCTATACTGTAATCTAATAACAACCCAACCAGTAATTCTGGAATGAGAAACCTAAGCCCTACAATCAAATAATGGAGGTATATGGGCATCCAATGGTCTCGGGGTGCTGAGCATGCCCTCTCATTCACCCCGGCAGGCCTGATTAGGACGTGGTGAGGGAGGTTACAGTTCCCTACTAACCCCCTAAGGCTACTCCTACTACCTAGTTCGCTCACATACCCCCTCACCTCAGAAACTATCTCTATGTCCGGGTCATAGCACCCATCTACGCCACCCCCAGATTCCAAAACGTTTGAGGGGATCTCCTCTTCCTCCTCCTCTACTACTCCTTCATCCCTCCACTCCTCCACCGTCCTCTCCGAACTAGTTGGAGACGGACTACTCTCCGTATCCATCCTACCGTAATCTAGGGGCATCACTTCACTCCCCACTACACTCATGGCATCTTCTGAAGACATCTCAATTTTTGCATAAAGGGGGAGGAGGAGCGAGGTCAGGACCCTTAACAATTCCAACACACTCAACACATTCTCACTCCCAACCCTAATTTCCTCCAAAAAACCCAAAATCAACCACAGAAAGGGAGAAAGGAGAGCACCACTTCGACAAAATCAAAATAAAAAATTCATAAACTTTACCTAATGTTGGTCTTGGAAACTGTTGTTGAAGCCTTGA